GTTGTGAAATGTTTATTTGTGGACTGATATCCCATAAATTGTGATAATTCCGTACTCTTGAATTTCTATAAGAGTTTTTCTATACATATTAAATTGGCAATTATGCTAGAATGCCTTTACAAACTGCTACCTTTCTAAATTTGAGCCCAAAATATTTGATTGGTTATTTTTGAAATGTTATAGAGAGTGACTGTTATTAATGGTTTAAGTGAAATTCATATTAATGATTTCAGTGATATGTTGAGTACATGATATTATTGCTTTCGAATGTTTAAAGAGATTTAGAAATAATTTAAGTATGCTAGTAGACTCATCCGGTTCACCGATGAGGTATAAGTGGACCTATCTGGGACACCGGTAGGGATTAAGTGGACCTATCTGGGATGCCGATAGGGATTAAGTGGACCCATCAGGACGCTGGTGGGGTATATAGGTGACCTACTTGGGACTCCAGTAGAGTATTTTGTGAAATCTTTTTAATCATGCATTGATGTTAAAATGTGATATGTATTTCAATTATTCGGATTATACTTAATTATGCATTTTTTAAAGTGAAACTGTTAATGCATTCCTGTTAATAGATCTCCTTTTTGAAAATATTGATATCTTTCAATCATGATTATTTTTAGGATTATGATGATCACTTACTGAGTAGCCAAACTCATCAAATTATGGTAAACATTTTTTTCAGGATAAATACGGATTCATTTTGAGTGCTAGTCAAGATCAACCTTGGAAGATATTGTTGTTGTGCTAACTTTCTTTTGTTACCTTGTAAGAATTCGCCACTGTAAATTTTTCCTATCAAGAAATATATATATGTTTTGACTGTCACATCTCAGGGATATCAGTATTGTAAATTCTTGGGGTGTGACAATTATGGTATCAGAGCAATAGGTTTAAGATTCTTAGGAAATTTAAAAAAAATGTACTTAAAATCACATTTATTGTGTGTACAGACCGGGACAAAGTCAAGATCCAGAATAGCTGAGGCTAATATGGAAGGAATTCACAAAGCCTTGAAAAATATGGTTACTCTAATGCAACATCAGGTGGAAAACAACAATCCACCCAGGCAGTCAGTTACAGGAAATGGTGGGGGTAATATCGAACAATTTAAGAAATTGAACCCACCTTCTTTTAAGGGTGTTGTAAGCCCACTGGAAGCCGAGGGATGGATTATGCAATTAGAGAAAATATTCGAAGTAATGGAATGTCCTGATGATAGGAAAGTGGCATTGGCAGTCTTTATGTTAGAAGGTGAAGCACAACACTGGTGGCGAATGGCAAAAGGAGTATTGGTCAAAGAAAATAAAGCCTTGATTTGGGAAGTATTTCTAGAGGCATTTAATGAAAAGTATTTCCCAGATTTTATTCGAGACCAAAAAGAAATGAAATTTTTAGAATTAATCCAAGGAAATAGGACATTAGCACAATACGAGGGCAAGTTTACTGAATTGGCCAGGTTTGCACCACATATGATTAACAATGAGGCAAGAAAGGTGAAGAAATTTGAAAGGGGTCTCCGGCCAGCTATTAGAAGCAGAATATCAGTCTTGAAATTGAGAACTTATGCTGAAATAGTGGATCGAGCCCAAATTGTCGAAAAAGATTTTGAAGATTACCAAAAGACGAAAAATCTTAAAAGTCATGTTAGACCTACATCATCTAATCGACAACAGTTTGAAAGGCCAAACAAGAAGCCAAGGCCCTCGCCATTTCAAAACCCAATAGAACCATGTAGAAAATGTGGGAAAAATCATGGATCAAGCCCTTGTTATTGGAATACCGGAGCCTGTTTTAAATGTGAAAAATTGGGACACCAGATTAGACAATGTCCTAGCTTACAAACACAACAGCTTCCAAAGCAGGGAGAGATAGCTCCAAAGCCTCAGATGAAGGGAAGAGTATTTGCGATTACAGAGCAAGACGCTCAGGCCTCAAAATCAGTGATCCAAAGTACTCTTACTATCTTCCAAAAAGT